TATTTTAGCAATGTATCGGACTATGATATGATTATAGAATTTATTTAAATACATGATAGAGTCATTGATATATTAAATTGGATCTATGCATGCTCTGGATATTAGTTGTTGATTTATTAAAGCATTTCTGACAACTATATGGTTAAGTGCTCGGATATAAATTGCTGAAATTTTAAACATATTTCTGCAATGATTTGGATATTGGTTTTAGACTGTAAATTACTAGTCCATTATTTATGTTTTGTAATTTACATGGATATGGAGGATTGTATGCACCGGTATGGGACGGTGACATACTGGGGACGGTTTAGCTCAAAACGCATAAACTTAACCTAATGGATTAATGGAATGGATTGAAAGATATTGAATCCTAATTGTGACTAAGTCAGATCAACTGCAACTAAGTTGGATGACTTCCTGGATTAATGGATGGTAGTTATGTCATATCAACTGAATAAGTTGAGTGACTAACTAGTTGGTTTATTGTAGTCAGTTTAATAAATATTTGAACTACATACCCTGGTTTTGGACGGACTTTATATATATGTTTATGGTACCACGAGATGAGCTTGAGCCTCAGACTCGTTGGTTAGGGTGCGTAAATGAAATGGATGCGTAGCTGGTTATAGTAGGTTGAGGTGTACCCTGTTAGGTCTAGGTACTCATGCCCACCTTTGGGTGCGTTTTCACATGTTGCCTTCTATTCAGGTTGAGACCCCTACTGTAGTCCAGTGAATGTCCCTTAGTGTGGATATATATATGTATGGACTAGATAGCTATTGTTGAGATATCTAAGGTGTATCTGCGTATCGAGTCACTGTTTGGATTGTAGTTAGAGAAGAATTTGCATGTGGGCCTGACCCAATCTTATTTTTACAGGTGTTTGTTAGTTCCAGACTTGGAGCTAGATCGTGCTGAGCAGATACAGTTATTCACTCCACCGATGACCAGGGTTTTATTTCATATTTTAGACTTGGGTTTCGTTTCCAATCTTTTGAGTTCAGTGAGATATATTAGGGGTCCACTAGATGGATTCCCGAGTTGTAATAGAAATGGAGAAGTATGATGTAACAGACTAGTTCTTATTTATCAGATTTATTCTGAAGTTTTCAATAAAGGATTTTCATTTAGTTTCTTTCCAGCGAATTTCATTTACTCATGTTTATCTTAATTATATTCTGTGTTTGATTATTGCTAATTTGTTTAATATCCTCGGGTAGTCCGGCGTGGGCCTGGCCAACCCGCATTCGAAAATCCAGGGGTATCACATAACCTTTCATGTGTCACACATCACATAACTCAACCATTTAAGCAAATAACTCACTTATTGTTTAAGCCTTGGATACATTACCACATAGTGAGCACTCACTTCTCAACTATCATTACTAGTTAAAAGTGAGTTCTTAGCTATCATTACTAGCTTAGATTAAGTACACTCTTCTCATATCTCACTACTAGGTTATGATGAGCACACACTTCTCTACTATTACCATAAGCTTGAAGTTAAGTTTGCTCAGTTATCAATTCTAGTAGTTCTTAACTTTAGTACACACTTATCTAAGTAGTTTACCTTGGTAGTAGAGTAATTTGTTTTGAAGAATATTCTTCAAAAACTACTACTTTACAAGTAGTATTATTCACTCCTATATGAGCAGATATGATGTATAACTCAAATAGCTTATAGCTAAAATGATTACTCATCACCCTCGTATTTTTTTACTACCAAGTAGAGAGTTAGAACCAATTAACAAATTTTCCTCTTAGGTTCTGTACACTTCATTAATCATTTTAACTTGTAACTAAGCTAACTAGTTTGCAACTCAGTAACATTTTAGCTTTTAGCTAAATTGTACACCAGAGCTGACTAGCTTGATTTAGCATGTCTCGGTGTACCTGCTTAGTATATCCATAACATTTTTCATTGAACCATTTAGAGTTATCGGAAATCTCTCTCTTATTCAGCCCATTCACAGTTATACGTGTCTTAGACACTAATATAGAATTTTTTTTTTTTTTTTTTTTCCCTTGACTATTGGGAGAATTGACATAGATAAACTAGTTAATTTTTGTTTGTTGTATTAAATACACAAATCAGTCATGAACTCATATACAAAGTTAATAATATCACACATTAAATAAACTGTATTGTAAAATTGTATTACTATGCACACTAAGTAATATAACTACATAACTCAATATTATAGTAAACATTTATAAAAACAATATTGAACTCGCGTAAATAAAAATAACAATATAATTTAATATTAAATTACATGATTAATTATATCACATAATTAATTTAGCAAATAATAATATTAAGGAGAATATTTTGCTTCCTTAAAGTTTTGTGGCTCATTCTCCAATAAACATGCTAGAAAATTAAGACCAAAAGATTTAGACGTTCTAAGATTTAGACACCCCTACACTTTTAAGAATTTATAAGAAGGTTTTCGACCTTTTCATAATTCATATGGTGTCACATTCGTTTTCTTTAAAGGTGTTTTATTGAGAACATAGTTTGCGGAAAACAAAACTTATCCCCTACAAATTCTGATTTAAATCAGAACTTATCAACATAGCATTCATCATTTTTTTATGAATTATACCAAGTTCTAAACAATTATAAGAGCATACTGTTTTGTATTCACCATCTCTATTTGGTATAAATTTAAGATAATATAATATACTACATAATATCATATTAAAAAAATAACCCAACCAATATTGAATTATATCAATTATCTATTTATATAATATGCTTCAATTTCACATAATATTGAACACATCAATATTTAGCATATTATCATATAATAATGTATATAACAATATTTTATTATATATCAATTATTAGTATAATCTATACTTGTTTATATCTTAAATAGAAACATATAATAAAATCTATACAAGGAACGATTCTGTCTTAAGATTGTTAGTGAAAAAAATATGCTTCATGTGACATTTAAGATATAACAAACCTTATACTAATATGTCATTAAATAATTAACAATATGCTAAGAAATCATTAATTAAATATGCAACTTTATATTTAATTAAATATGCAAAATAAAGTAATAAAATAATACTAATAAAAAAAGAACCTGGACCGAGGCTAGTATTGGATACTATGTCCTTAAGACAGATTCGCCCCGTTATGGTGCTAACAGATTCAGTGGCGTCTATCTTCCAGGATACAACGATCTACATCCACCAGTAGCAGCACTACAAACTCGTGGATATGGCGAACCTCCTTCGTGTAATACTCTCTCTGACTCAAAAATGCATCTATACTATATAAATGCTGAATTGGGTGTAATTCGAACCAAATGGTTCGGACGAATCTTAATATGACTCGATGAAATTGGATTAGGGTCTAAGTGGCTCGAACCACTTAACTTATGGTTTGAACCCACTTGGGTTGGGTTCAAGTTTAGAAAGAGAGATAGAAGAAAATGAAAAATGAAAGATTTGCAAATGATCCAAATTGGGGTATTTATAGGCAACAAGGTGCCTTTTCGGGTGGGTGCAACCATTTGGAAAAAACCAAAAAGTAATTTTTAAGTAAGGTGCCTTTTCAAATTGGGTGCAACTCTTTGGAAAAAACTAAAAAGTAGTTTTTTAAGTAAGGTGCCTTTTTGGATTGGGTGTAATCCTTTGGAAAAAAAACTAAAAAGTAGTTTTTAAGTAAGGTACCTTTTCGGATTGGGTGTGTCTCTTCATCATTGGACACAACCATTTATATGTGTTTCTTCATCATTGGACACAACTATTTATACGTGTCTCTTCACACTGGACACACCCACTCCAATTGGTTGCAATGGTTTAGTTGGTGTCTGTTCACCAATAGACATATCCATTCCAATAGGTTGCAATGGTTCACATGGTGTCTGTTCACCAATAGAAACATCCATTCCAATATGTTGCAAACCTTTAGAAATAGATGCAACTCTTTGGAAAATAGATGCAACCCTTTGATTAAAAAACTAACTTTTAATTTAAATTCAAAAACCAACCACCCATTTAAATAAGCTCAGCCCAAAAACAAAGATTCAATCCAAAATTTCATTTAGTAAAAAGAATAATCGGACTTTACAATAAGGCCCAAGCCCAAGCCCAAAATTTAGCTTATTTAAATTTCAATTAGTTTCAACATTTTTTTCCATGTAAGATAAACACTTCCCACATTTTGCATGCCCATTTAGGCTTATCAAAACACCACACTTTGGAGCTAATTTCTCATTTACCCGGAAACGGATTTGAGAAAGTAAATATACCACGTTCATCTCCTTGCGGAGAGAAACACGCTTGTCTATAGATCCGTAAAAAATTATTAGCGGAATTTATTCCAAATCTCATCCAAAGTTTATGTTATTAATGCCCCTTTTTCCAACAAATACTTAGGTCCTCAGTACTCACCACTAATGTGGACCAATAATAAATGAATACGTCCTATTTTAATTATCAAATTAGAGATAGTAATTTTTTCTGATTTGGTAAGTAAATATTTATTCACCATCTTTAAAGGTCACATGTCAATTTATTATTGGTCAACATTAACAATGAATATATTGTAAATCCTCACTAAGCACTGTACCTTAAAAATGGGTTTAGTTGTCATTGTTTATAAATAATAATTAAAAAAAATGAACTACTAAAGGAAATTAGTTGTCATTGTTTATAAATAATAATTAAAAAAAACGAACTACTAAAGGTAATTTATGAAATACCTTTAATAGCGGGACAGCCAAGATTCCAAATTCTTTTGGGAAAAGAAAGAATTAAGACTTGATTCCTTGTAGTTAAGACTTGATTCATTGTAATTTCCTTTTCCCTTGGACTTGATTCCTTGTAATTTCCTTTTCCCTTGGAAAAGTAGACCTCTTGCTTCTTAAATGCATGACACTTCCTTGGAAATTTCTTTAATTTCATCGCCAGTGTGCATTGTTTTCTTCCTATTCTTGTTTTTTTGGGGTCATTAGGTGACCTTTTGAATATCTATTTAGTAGCCCCCAACTAAACCATTTCCCATTTCCCATTGCTCTCTCTCTCTCTCTCTCTCTCTCTCTCTCTCGTCTGAATTGTGTTTGCAGTCAGTCATGTCTCTCCTCGATGACCTCCTCAACATCAACCTCTCTGACACCACAGAGAAGATCATTGCAGAGTACATATGGTATATATTCTCTCTACCCCCTCTCAATATATATATATATATATATATATATATATATATATATCATATCCATGATCACTGCTTTGATTTTTTTTTTTTTTTTTCGTTTTCGATCAATTTCTCAATTGACCCATCTTCTTTTTTCTTGCAGGATAGGCGGATCCGGCATGGATTTGAGAAGCAAAGCAAGGGTGTGTGTGTGTGTGTGTTTTTTTTTTTTTTTTCTCTCTCTACACACGCAGTTACTTTCTCATTTTCTGTCCATCTATATATTACACACATAAACACACACTAATGCGAGTGTCTGTGTGTGTGACAGACTTTGCCAGGACCGGTATCTGACCCACAAAAACTCCCAAAGTGGAACTACGATGGATCCAGTACCGGCCAAGCCCCAGGCGACGACAGTGAAGTAATTCTCTGGTATGTATACATACACACGCATACATTACATACATGTGTGTATATATATATATACTAACTATTTTGATTGGATGAACAGTCCGCAGGCTATATTCAAGGATCCTTTCAGGGGAGGAAACAATATCCTGGTAATATACTTACTACTCCAGTGTGGTGTATAAATGGTATAATTTGATTAGGGGTAGGGATTCAGTAATTTAATGAGAACATAGAGGGCAATAAAATAATTTTGGTTTTGGGAAGGTATTATGTGACACCTACACGCCAGCGGACGAGCCAATACCCACCAACAAGAGGTTCAATGCGGCCAAAGTCTTCAGCCACCCCGACGTCGTTTCCGAGGAACCCTGGTACTATACTAATCATTTTTACCCCATTATAATATATATATATATATAAATTGTTTTTTTTTTTTTGAATTAATTACATCGACACCTTCTAAAATTTGTCTTATTATCAGACATATATAAGTTAATCTTTTTTTTAACAAAAAAATCTCTGAAATTTGATAAAATTAACAAAATACCCCTTAACACCATCCGTACCTGGCACATAAAAAAAATGACTAATTTACCCTTTGACTTGTCAATCAAATTGTTAAGATTTTGAAATTACAGCGTTAACCTTCTAACTAATTTTAATTAACCAAACTTGCCACATCACTATAACCGTATACATATACTGAATGTATATATATATCATCTCCTCTTATATAGAGAGAGAGAGAGAGAGAATGAGAGAAGAAGCAGGTCGTTGGCTGGTTGCCCCTCCACTGGCGGCACACACCAGCATAGCTACCATCACCATACCACCACCTCAACCAATTCCTCTCTCTCTACCCTCTCATCTTCACAGCGCCACCACACCCACACCGACACCGACACCCACCACCACCACATCACAACCCCACCACCACCACCTGACAGCCCCGCCACCACCATTTCACAGCCCCGCCACCATTCCACAGCCCTGCCACACCCGTCGCCACCACCACATCACAACCCCGCCACCACTCCACAACCTTGCCACACCCGCCACACCACTTTACAACCCCGCCACCACCACATCACAGCCCCGCCACCACCAAATCACAGCCCCGCCACCACTTTACAACCTCACCACCACCACATCACAGCCCCGCCGCACCCACCACCATCCCCACTCCACAACCCCACCACACCTAACCCCACCACCACTTCGAAGACTCAAACTTGACCTTCACAGTACCACCACACCCACCGCCATCATCGATTACGAATTTGCAGAAGCCCTAGCCGAATTAGGGTTTTAGTTCCCCAAATGCAACACCAACGAGTCTGATAAATTCATCGAGATTCAATTGTGTACCAATTCGGGAGGATTGGTGAAGAGCTTGACGAAGATGGAATGGTGTGTGTGTATAGACAAGATTGCTTGGACTACGCAGAGGAGGATTGGTGAAGAGCAAAAAAATTTGGGTTTTTTTTTGGAGCAGAGGGTGGAGAGAGAAACATATTACTCCGTATTTTAAAAGGGTAATTATGTTATATAATTTTTTAATATTTTAGATTAATAATTGATATTTTATTAAGGACAATCTTGTCTTTTCACAGATTTTAAGGGCGTGTTTGGTTTAAATTTCAGGAGTGTAAGTATTCAAAAAATGGTCTAACTTATATATGTCTGTCAATAGAGCAAACCTCAAGGAATGTGTAATTAATTTTTTTTTTATTTTTTAGGTTGGCACGGATAACTCCCTTAGAAAGGGTTTCTTCGGGACGCATCCTAAATTATAAATCCGGGGTGCACCCTTCACCCCAAAGGATAATATGTAAATTGTTGTTATTGTTATTAATTGTACTATTCGTTTGGCCTACAATCCAAGAGAAAGATGACAAAGTTGGCACTATTATATGAATTTGAATCTGAAGTGTATGTATTGTTTTGGAGCTAAAAAAAGAGTGAGGTGACAAATATCATTGTTTATTCCCTTCAGGGGATAAAAATTATGTAATAGATGTATTTAATTTAATTATTCTGTTGATTCGGTAGTCTCAACCTCTTGTTGCAATAATAGCATACTACTATTTTTTTTTTTCATACATCACAAATTTTTCACTATTTGTATATATGGTTCAAACACGACAATTTTTGAGCTAACGCCAATTAGTATTCTGTTTTATTGACATATAGTTTTAAATTTCAAAAGATAATCCAGCGTTTTGGTCCTTTATGGTTGCTTAATGTCATTATTTGCAAATCGAATGACATTTGACCAAAAATAAAACATTGGATTTGGTTTGGTTAGAAAGTATTGGAAGGTCGAGGAGAAAATAAAATTTTGAAGGAAATTTTTAAAAGAAATGGTATAATAATCCGTATTTCTATCTATGATTTTTTTTAGAAAATTATTCATTTAAATTTCCACATTACTTAAAAAAAGAAAAAAGAAACCAAAAAAAATATTGATATGAGAATATGAGATAGATCCATTTTAAAAAAAAATTAGTTTAATACTAATATATAAAAATAAAAAAGAATTTAAGTATTTTTTGTAGCTTTCATGCTATCTAAACCATTAATGTAATTTTACAACTTTCTTACAAAAAAAATTCAATCTAACAAATACATGCTTCAAAACTTTTTTATCCTTTTCTTTCACTTCGCTTACTGTTACTTTCACTTTCTAACTTTTCTTTACTGGACAAAGCCTAGTAGAAATCTCGAATCAATCTAAATTTGTTATTTAGAATAAACTACAAATTGAAAGAAAGTGTCATTTTAAATAAAAGCTGCTTTTGACAGTAAGAATTGTTCTATTTAGTTTTTAGAAGTTATGAATTGGATCGGTGTGATCTGCGCGTTACGTGATTTTGGTGCATGCATACATTGCCTTGACAAATCCAATGGTTTGCAGATCGACCATATTTAGTATAATGTCTTGTTTGACATATTTAAGAATTTAGGCTTCATTGGATTGAAAATTTTGAAATAAACGAATTTAAGTTCAATTGTTTATGTAAGACACTCATTTGTCAAATTCCTTATTCATGTAAATAATCCGATTTGTAAATGCAAATTGGTGAGGTAGTTGTTGGCATGTTTTGGCTTGTCGGGAGGACTTTTGAGCCCCTAATTCTCTTAGGCATTAGTTCTTTGGTAATTCTGTTTAACTCGAATGTCTTTTTTAAAAAAATAAGCTTGTTTATATACCTCCATTGGTGTAGACAAAATATAAAAGAAAAATCACAAATGCCTAGTTTTCTGGAGTACATTTACAAGATCAGTCTTTGTGAGGAAGCAAATAGAGCTTAGTGCCTGAAAGTGAACTCTATATTATTTGTCAAGTTTGCTTCTATTCTTTTTTTTCCCCGGAATTAACAGTTTGGCATGAGCTATTCAATAAACAATAAGAGTTAGGTTTAAGCTAATCAATCGGGATGATAATTTAGCCCGGCTCATGTTTCCCTCGTCCCTAGTGGGACGGACATGGGAAGCTTTAAATTAGGATAGGGATGGGTTTGGGCAAGATCAGTTTTAGTGGTAACCCGCCTAAAACAAGAATGCAGGACCAAGCATAATTTGCCTTTCTTTAAAGAAATTGCCTTTCCTTTCCCCGCCTAAAATGGAGGGGAAGGAAAAAGAAAGAACTTTTTTTTTTATTTGACTAGGGAAAAAAGAAAAGAAAATAGAAGAATGCCGGACAATGCACAATTTGCCTTTCTTTTTTCTTATTAATGAAAAAAGTCTTCATATTTCCTTTTAATTTTAATTTTTATTTTTGGGTTAGTAAAAAAGATACTTCATTCTTTCAATTCCCTTTTCTATTAACTGAAAATGTGCTAATTTTGTGGCTAGGTACGGGATTGAGCAGGAATACACTCTTCTTCAAAAGGATGTCCACTGGCCACTTGGGTGGCCAGCTGGTGGCTTCCCTGGTCCTCAGGTTCCCATTTATTTACCATTCCACCATTTGTTGTTGGTTTGTTTTGTGGTTTTGGTAGAACCTATATATTTTTTTTAACAAGAAAATGGTACTCCCTCCGTCCCAAATTTAGTGTCGCCAATGCGACACTAAATTTGGGACGGAGGGAGTACTATTCTTATTGTTATAATCAATATGGTCTAAGAAACTCTCAAATCTTATAGGGGCTTGTCTCGCTCAATAATTTTTTCGGGCTATTCATAGCTTATAATTAGAGTTGTGTTTATGTGTTCCTACTGATGCAGGGACCATACTACTGTGGGATAGGAGCTGATAAGGCATTTGGTCGTGATATAGTGGACTCCCACTATAAGGCATGCCTTTATGCTGGAATTAACATCAGCGGAATCAACGGCGAAGTCATGCCTGGTCAGGTATTTTTAATCCCTTTTCTGATTGCTAAGAAAGAGCAGAAAGGAAAATATTTCTCCATGCAATCAGGTGGCACAAATGCTGTAGAGCTTTCTTCCTTTGCTGTTAGTAATATTACATTGAAAATTAATTTCTTACCTTTTGTGACCTTCATATGCATTTTGTGTGATGTTTTTACAATTCATGTTAATTGGATTCTTTTTATAATTTTATTTGTTGATTTTTTTTCCCTTAGAAATGTGATTATTTCTTTTGATAGAATCTGATTAATGAAGTTACAAAGACAATTTTTAGTATTATTTTGTTATTGTTGTGCTGGTGTAAACAGTGGGAATTCCAAGTAGGCCCTGCCGTCGGGATATCTGCTGGTGATGAATTATGGGTTGCTCGGTACATTCTTGAGGTAGGTTCATTGAATTTGTAAAATTACTGCATTCATGATTATCTGTCCTCCCCATTTTCATTTTCGGTGTCAATCTGATATTTTAATCCGCTTGGTGAAACAGCGGATTACAGAAATTGCAGGAGTTGTTCTTACTTTTGACCCAAAACCGATTCAGGTCTCTGTTCAACTACTTCCCTATCTTTTGCTGTTTTTTATGTTTTACTTTCTGTTCTTTTTTTTTTTTTTTTTTTACTTTACATGTACATATAGTGATTCGAATCGCATTGCTCATTTTATTTGGACTTGATCATGAGTGAAAGCCTAGGACTTAATTTCATATAGATCTAGTTTAATCCATTTTCTATAGCACAAATAAATCCAATGGCATGAACTAAATGTATTCCTGCTAGATTGACTCCTTGAAACATATTTATTCTACTTACTAAATATATTCCTGCTAGATTGACTCCTTGAAACATATTTATTCTCTGTTTGTTTCAACGTAAAATGTGTTTTTTGAAAAATATTTTTCTTTTTCAGGTAAAATATTCTTTTATTTTTATTTTGTCGGTATTTGGCAAAGGTTTACATCGAGTTCATCGGTTAGGCATGTAAAATAACTTGTCGAAAATTTATGGATAAATTATTTTTGTTAAATTTTAATTTTTTTTTTTTTACGACAACCAAATACCAGAAAATAAAAAAATATTTTACGTCCAAACACACGTAGCCTTTTTTTCACAAAGGCATTTGAAATGAGCCAGTATTCCATTAGCATGTGATGGCTTTTATAGTTGCATTCTATATCCTGAGATGGCTCCTCTCTAGGTTCAGAATACTGCCTTCCATGCACATTTTGGGCTTTTTCTGTCAACTATTTTATACTGGCAGACACCTACGAATACCCATGTGCATATAATTTAGTTGTGCCATGTCGTATGATGACTAAATATGACATTATATTCTTATCTCCAGTTTCCTATGTCTTACCTATTACCGGATTATAGTTTAACTTTATTCTTAATGAAAACTTAGGGAGATTGGAATGGTGCTGGTGCTCACACTAATTACAGGTACATCTTAAACCCTAACTTTTCAATGGAAAAGTTTAATTTGCCTTTGTATACTTTAGGTCCCTTTTGAAATTTCTAATTGATGCATATTTTGGTTTAATACATTTTATATATTTTTAATATTAATCTTTCTGAACCAGCACCAAGTCCATGAGGGAAAATGGTGGGATTGATGTGATCAAGAAAGCGATTGAAAAGTTAAGTTTGCGCCACAAGGAGCACATTGCAGCGTATGGAGAGGGCAACGAAAGAAGATTGACCGGTCGCCACGAGACTGCTGATATCCACACTTTCTCTTGGGTGAGTTACGATCTTCTTTCAATGTGTGCAAGAATATACTGCTTTTGTTAGTGATGATGCTAACAATAATGATGATGATACTACTAGTAAGAAGGATTTTGTTTCTGTTAGTTACTATTATCTCCATTGTTATCCTTACCGTCGTTATTATGAATTGCCAGGAGAGTAGTTATAATAAATAAATGAGATGTGGCGGTGTTACAGTAGTGGTGGTGATATACAAAAATCTACTCTTATTAAAGACGGGGAGATATTAAGAGAACCCATAAAAATTCTAAATTTTTTCATACTTAGTTTCGAACATAGGGATTTAATGGAAACAAAAAGTAATTTATAAGGCTGTTCTGCAGTTGAATGAGTAGTGTAACAAAATAATCACTGTAGTACCTAAAACTAGTGGAACAGGAGATATTTTTGCACTAATTTTGAACAAGTTATATATGAATAGACAAGAATACAATCACTTTGGCCATATGGTGGTAATTGCAAAATAATTTGCTTGTTTTATTTTTGGATAATGCATGCTGATCTTTCCATTTCCCAAATCTTAGGGTGTTGCAAACAGGGGTGCTTCTATACGTGTTGGCCGTGACACTGAAAAGGCTGGAAAAGGTGAGCATTCATTTGTGTTGCTTCAGTTTTGCATTTTCTTTTTCAGTTTTTCTTCCCCTAAGGCATCATCATTCATGATTGGTGTTGACAGAAATAAACTCAAGCCTATGTGATAGTCGGATGATTTTATTTATGAAAAGAACATATGACTTGCACCCATGAACATGAAAACTAAAATCACATAATTCCATTACAGTGAGAATCCAGCAAACGCCATTTCAGAACTACCCTGTGATTTAACGCCGTTGTATTGGATTGTGATTGGATTGTGAATAACAAGTGAGATGAGGCATCATCATTCATAATTGATGTTGACAAAAATAAACTCAAGCCTAGAAATAAAATTAGGATGGTACTCAAGCCTATGTCCTATTAGGAACATATGGCTTACACGCATCAACACGAAAGTTAAAATCACATAATTTCATTACAGTTGGAATTCTTGGCCATCTTTGTATTGGATTGTGATTTGTGCATAACAATAGCAATAATAATAACGAATAAGTTTTTGACAGGCTACTTCGAAGACAGGAGACCAGCATCGAACATGGATCCGTACACTGTCACCTCCATGATTGCTGAAACCACCCTTCTCTGGAAGCCTTAAAAGGGAATAGGGGAAGCAAATCCAGTATTTATTACTGCCTAAGATGGGCTGGTTGCTTAAAAAAAAAAAAAAAAAACTCTTGCGGTTTCGTGTTAGTTCTATTGATGTGTCCAGTCTGCAGGTTGTGGATAATGTCTTGTGATTTGATGCTAGAATTCTGCTTTTATGGTTTTGAAGTACATGGTTTTGAAGTATATACAACACCAATAAAGCTTGTTCTTATTGCCGGTTAATGGTTGAAATGCTAGAGGAAATATTTTCATTTCATGTTTTATATAGTAGGTAGTTTAGTTTAAATGATCTTTTATGAAAGTTGATGATTGTTGGAATCATAGTATGTGTCTAGAATGGTTCTGGGATTTGATTCCTGATACTATAATGCCATTTAGATAGTTGTTTTTTTAACCAACGATGTTATATCTCCTCTACCTCTTAAAGTAGAGAAAATACCATTAAGTCACAAGATCATTGGTTAAAAAACAACAATCTAAATGGCATCACAGTACCCCTTTTTTTTTTTTTTTTTTTGTCATCTCTGAAAAAATTAAAAAGTTTAATTGCTGACAGTTCCGTGCTATTAAAAATTTTAAGCATTATACCTTTGAAATAAAATTAAGATTTAATTTTGAAGTATTATTTGTTTGCAAATAATTTTTTAAATACACCATCTGTCTTAAAAAGAATGTCTTTTTTTGGGAATATAAATTTTTAAGAGAACATGTGAGTCAAGTATGGTCCCCTTATAAAGTTATTAACTTGCCTTTTTAAGTTTTATATATTCAAGTTTAAAATTTTAAATTTTAATGGTATATGTGGAAAAATGTAAAATATATTTTTTGAAAAGGGAAAGTGAACAATTATTTTGGAACTCAAAAAGGAAAAATAGACATTCTTTTTGAGACAGATGGAATAGAAACAAATCTCACCTACTAGTAAAATAAATAAATAAATAAAATGACCTGTTCTTGTCTTTCTATTTTCAATGAAATAAACACCTGTGGCCATAGTAGAACAAAAAAATAGAAGAAACAATATCATATTTGGTTGATTAACTAGGACAAAAAAATTTTATATTTGCACTTCACTTTTCTATATTTGGACTTTTGGAATGACAAAATAATTCCCTAAGCTAATTAATGTCTTTTTATATACTTTTTTTTAGCTTAATCCAAATTATAGTTTAACGTGGCAATAAACCAATTGTCCTTAGATATTACCTGACATATTAAATGCACAAACTAATTTTAGATAAAACTACCATTTTATCAGTTTCTTCTTAACATTTTTATTTTTTATTTTTTTGTGTGTTATATTATATATATATATAGAGAGTATCGTTTTTGCTTAAATTTCTTCTTTCTATAAAAGACACAATACTAAAAGAAAAATAAAAGAAAAAATTACCATCACCGATGGTGTTGAATGTTCACGAAGTATTGACAGTTCTTACATATTTCTTGTGTTAATATTCTATTGTTACATACAAAGATTATTAAATCCTAACTGAAAGAGAACAGATAATTAATACAAAGTAAATAATTAATTGAAAAAGGCTGTGATCCAAAACATTAAATTGAGTGGAGAGAGTAAAATAAAAATATATTTCAATGATTGAAAAGGTAATTGTGGTATTTGAGAAAAATAATTATTTATTTATAAAATTAGAGATAGAAGTGCCATTTTCTTTATAAAAAAAAAATGTACAAAAATGGAGTGTTCCTCCACACAAAAAATAAAATTAAAAATAAAAATGAAAATGGTAGTTATATTTAAGAAAAGAAAAGACTGAAAAGTAATTTGATAAAATTACCAAGGTACCATGAGTCATGGAGCTAACAAGGGGGTTGGGAATCAAAGATATATAAGCTATTGTTCCAAGCTTCGGTCACTTAGAACCCAGGACGGAGAACAGCTCTACCTTTTTACACTTTATCCTCCAAACAATGGGAGGAAATGGAAGGAGAGGGAAGGAGAGGTTTGATGAATAATTTCTGATGCCAAATTTACTAAACACAAAATCAAGGATTTAGTTTGCAAAACAAGAATTACAGACCTTGATTAGTTGATTTAGAAAAAAAAATTAAAACAAAACCCATGCATACAAGTTAGCAGTTGCAGAGAGAGAGAGAGAGAGGAGAGGGGCAAGCTAACAGCGGGCCAGCGATGGAAACGGTGACCCCGAACTGGAACAGCGGGCGATGGAAACTGAAAGATATGGGTTTTGATTTTTGGAACAATCGGAAACAATATGCCGATATGGGTTTTGAACTTTTGATTCTTGCAGACAGATAGATAAACTGAAATATATGGGTTTGGAACTTCTGATTCTTGTAGATTTTGTAGTTTGCAGTTGCGCAGGGAGAGAGAGAGAGATGCAGAGAGAGAATAGAGATGGAGGCGGGGGAGGCTAAATTGATTTGCCCTGAAAATATTATATTTATATTACGTACGTTTATTTTTTTATTTTTTACAAATATTACAGGCTTAAATTTATAAATTTTTCTTTTAAAATATAAAAATGTATAATAGTAAATTTACTTAAACACTTTTCTTTCTTTTTTTTTTGGATCATTATTTCTTCATTTCTTTTTTTATTAATCAACCAAGCACGATAATTTTTATTAATCAACCAAGCACGATAAGAGTTATTTCATTCCCTTTCCCTTATAACTACCTTACCAGACATGCCTTAAAGTAAAATGTACAAGAGTGGTACATGCTTAATCCACAACTATACAAGACAAATATCAATGCTCGCCAACCTAAAGGATATAAATAAAGAAAAACAAATCGCACACAACATAAATTTCAATTTAAATTAAAAAAAAAAAAAAAAAAAAAAAAAAAAAGAGGAAAAGAAAAGAAGGTTCGCAGTGATGAATTCATCAATTTTGCCATTACCTCTTTTATCATCTCCCATTCTTGATCACACAACCTCTAGTTGTATTCACAACTAAGGACTGATATTTGATGCTTCTATCGTTTTATGTATATGTACTATTAATCTATAGAACTCTAGAAAACCCATGGAAGAAGGATTGTGTTTTTTTTTTTTTACATGTAAAAAACCTTGGGACTTATATTCAGGTTAATGTTATTGTTACCCAAGTATTGATTTTAGGGGGGATAAATAGAGTTTATGACAAATAATAGATATTTTTCCGGATTAATAAAATTATGCAAGTCTAAGCAATACCTATATAAATTGTGCAAAAACAATATATCAAGACAATCATTATAAGCACAATTTAAATGAGATAACGGAAGAGAGATGCAAACAAAATAACACTCCGATTTAGCGAGGTTCGGAACTCCTACTTCTTGGCTCAAGTTCCCTCTTGACACTTTCCCAAATCCACTATGACTTCTCTTTTCAGGTGAAAAGCAAACATTTTAGGAAGTAAACTTGTTTCTCCTTCCTTTGTTAAGAGAAACTTCTTCTCTTAGACTTCCTTTGTTTAGGCTATATGCCTTCTACAAAGCCACTACTGATAGGGGTGGAGCCTGGATTTTAGTTTAGGGGTGGCACAATGTTAAAAAAATAATAATAAAAAATAAAAAATTATTTAAAGGAGTAGAAGGGGAAAAAAAATAAGAAAAAGGAAAAAAAATAAAAAAATAAAAAAAAGTAAGAAAAATGACAACTTGAAAAGGACACAATTAAAATTTAATTGAACAAGAAAATTTTAACTTTTTTTTAAGGAATTTGAAGAGTAAATTAGGAAGAAAAAAATAATAATAAGAGATAGTTTTAAAAACTAATAATTTCAGGGGGGTATTATAAAAAAAAATACCATATATATACATATAAAATAAAAAATTTCTACATGTAAAGTGGGCGAGGCCAGGCCAGAGGAGGCACACACACTGGCTCCGCCCATTTATTATACATTCTAATTTAATAATCTTCATATAATATTGATAAACATGTATTAGTTAGATTAGGGGATTCTAATCTACATAGTTTATTAATTATGATAGAATAAATTCATGTACATTGGCGGTTGAGGTACGTGTGCAGGAGATATGAATTTATCGGTATTCGTGATTATAAATATTCGTGCTCTATCGAATAGAATTGGACATCCTATTTCGTGAGTATAAATGTTGGTTTCTAACTTAGAAGAAAAACTAAGTGGAGTAACTTATCTCAGTCATTTGGATGAGTGATCCAGCACCAAACGAGTTGGCGTGTATAGATTGCTAAATGGGTCAACGATAAGTAGAAAATTACTTGTACCACCATGAGTAATTTTTCTTATCAGTTACTGTTATGACAAACACAACGAACCCAAGTTGAATCAAGGATCACAACAGAAAAGTAAATACGCCACACAAAGAACCCAAAGATTTATACGTGGTTACGCAACGGCCTACGTTCATGGTTGGGATCCGGCGAAAGTTTTCACTATGTGTAAAATCGGAGATTACAAATTTCCAGCCCATCTCTATGTTTCTGTACGAATTTCAGAGTCTCTCTTATCCACCACTCCAAATCCTAAGCGCCCTTATATATCGGCTTACAAGAGACTAATTAGGATCCACAATCCTTGAGCAAAAAATGGGTCAAATTTTTTTCCATCCAACGGGTTGTCGGTTCATAAGTGGCTCGCAACGCAACTCGGCACCAAATTCGGGCCACAATATCACAGTTACTAATGTAAATTGGCTCTTAATCCTGAGAACTATATTGACTGAATTTATATTTAATCATTTATTTTAATATACTTGGAGTGATCTATTGTGATAATCCCCTGATTCCAAGTCGTGGGTTGATCAAGTCTAAGCCCATAAGCCAGGAGATATCAAAATAATTAATATTTTAAATCAAAAACTGAATACAAAAAGATAAATAAATAAAGAACTAATATTTCTGAAGGGAAAACTAATAAAAATAAAAAAATCCTCTGAATAAAATCCATTAATCCTCAAAGATAAATAATAACATTCTTATAGAATTAATTCTCCAACAAAATACAACTCGAGAATCCTAAAACATAGACCCTTAATAAAATCCCATAACTGAAAAAAAAAAAAAATTAAATGTCTAAAAACTGAAATAGATTGTGATTTAGAATTTCTTGCATATTCAAAATAATAAGCAACGTTTATCTTATTTTGCGCCAACCCGAGAGTGACATTTGGTAACCAAATTATTTTAGATGCATAATGCATCTACAAATTTTCATAGCAAGTAACAGAAATACTCTTGAATAAGTAAATTTTATGTTTAA